AATATTTTTTATTTTACACTGTTATGATAATTACACATTTTTCTTATTGGTTAATACTATACTATATGGAGAATATTACTGATTGTACACTCCTAAGTTGTACTTCTTCGTCTAAGCGAATCAGTCATTCAGTCCAATGTTTGGCTTCTTTATCAGCGTTTTTCTAAAGGTAGCTAAGGTAGGAGGTTGTCTGTTATCCAAACTTTCTCTCTCTCTCTCTCTCCCACTCACTCAAAGAATCAGCGTTTATATCTTGTGGTTGCACCGAAGACTACGTTTTACTTTCCACTTTAATCATCGGGTATTGTTTTAGATTTAAAGTACAAAATAGTAGTCATATGTTCACGTTATAATGCTATTTGTAATACTCTGTTTGTGCAACTAATAAAAATCTCTTTGAATTTACTATCATTGGCATTAAATTCTCCTGAAGAAGTTTAAGGGCACTATATGTATATTTGTTTTTACAGGATCTGCCTGGTGATGGTAAAATTAGGCTTCTTAAGAATAGTAGATTTGAGAAGGTGTCATCTGGCTAAAACATCATGAACAAAGCAAGATTATCAGCAATAGATATTTCTCTTTTGGCCATCGATCTGTTAGATAGTAATGTCATGCGTACCATGATGGTCATCACCAGACGACACGGACAACTAACGTTTTCAAGTGTTGAGCATCTGTTAGACATGTAACTGCCAGATATCATGACAGTAAAGTTAAATTGTTGAGCTTTATTGTTCAGTTATATCTATACAATCATTCGTTTTTAGTTAAAGAAAGAAATTTAATGATGTTCTGTTACATGTTAGTTATCAGAAACTTGCGTATTTGTTGACATTTATCAGGAAGGCCTATGCTCAAGGTAGTTATTCATTGCTGACTAACATGAGTTGAAAAGCCATTGAAAACCTGGGAGCACTAGACAGCAGCTTTGTCGTCCTAGTGTAAGACTCGTCAAGAGCTCCCTTACCGATCCACCGCTTACCTCAGTGTGCCATGCTAGCTGAATCTAGATTAGGTTGGGAGAGGAGCAGATGTAGGTTCATACCACTGTCTGTTGCAAGCAGCCTTCAGAATCAAGCTGAAAGCCTTCACGGAAGCTGGTGATAGACCACAGTTGAAGTTCACCACCCAGAACAGAAACTGAAGGACGAAACTCAAGAGAACATCTTCACGTCAGTCATCAGGAAAAAATGGGCGATATCGAGCAACATCCCTGAAGAAACCTGCGTGGAAGAATACTAGAACTCTTTGAAAGAGACGTGGAAGGAAACCTGCATAACCGTGTTAGGAAGGAAGAAGAAACAAGACTAGAAAAGGATCTTGACAGATACACGGAAGCTGATAGAGGAGGGAGAGGAAGATGGTTAAGCAGAAGATAAACCAGGGCAAGGATGAACAGCGAAAAGAGGAACTGAACACAACTTATAAAATACCGGACAAAGAAGTGAAGAAGAGTACGCGCAAAGACAAAAGACACTTCTACGACACACTGGTAAGTGAAGCAGAACAAGCTGCTGGTAGGAGAGACCTGACAACATTATATCAAATAACCAGGTTACTATCTGGTGAGAGATCAACGCAGATGAGATCAGTGAAAGATAGTGAGGGAAACCTAGTTTCCAAAGAGGAGAAACAAAGGAAACAGTGGACTGACCACTTCGAAAAACTCTTGAATCTACCACCACCTGCAACTCGTCCAGAAATGCTACCAGCAGCCCAGCCACAGAACTGTCAATGAACATAAACCCTCCGACAAAAGCAGGAGTGAAGACTGGGACACCATAAAACTTCAGAAATCAGGGAAAGCAGCAGGACTTGATGGAATTCCTCTAGAAGCACTGAAAACAGACTCAGAGACAACAGCGGACATGCTCACACCACTAATGCAGAAGGTTTGCAATGAAGGAATGAAGGAAAGGTACCTGCTCATTGATTGGAGGAAGGACTACCTTGTCAGACTCCCAAAGAGGGGTGACCTAAGTCTTTGCAAGGACTGGCGTGGAGTCATGCTTCACTCCTGTCCACCCCCAAGCAAAATATTAAGCCGCATCATCCTGGAGAGACTAAACAATGCTCTGCATTCAACTAGATTACGACTGGAACAGGCTGGCTGGCTCGCTTCAGAAAGAACAAATCATGTGCGGATCAAATTACAACCCTACGCTACACATCATCATTGAACAGAGTATAGAATGGCAGTCAACTCTTTACCTCAACTTCATTGACTTTGAGAAGGCATTCGACAGCGTTGACCGATAAGCAGTTTAGAAAATGCTTCAACACTACAGTTTTAGTGCCACAAACCTTTATTAACCTCATTCAACAGCTATATGACGACGCTACTTACCAAGTGATTCACAACACAATGGAAAGCTCAGTGACGCCTTTGAAGTGAAGAGAGGGGTAAGATAAGGTTGCCTACTATCACCGATGGTCTTGATTGTGGTCGACTGATGTGGAAGGATCATGCAACAAACTGTGAGGAACGAGAAGATGGATATATGCTATTTGACCGGTGGAAAAACCCCAGAAGAAGATTTGGATTTCGCCGATGATGATGATTTATGTCTAATGTCTTGTGGCACAAACTCGAAGATCTACAGGCGGGAACCAACAAGTTGACAGAAGAGGCAGCGAAGGATGGTGGGACTTTAGGTGAATGTAGAGAAGACAGAGGTGATGAAGATATCCAACCAACCAACCAAAAACAAGCACCAATCACCATCAACGGGAGAAACCTAGGGGAAGTAGTATCTCTCACCTACCTACCTAGGCAGCATCGTCTCAATTGATTACAGGCGGCGGCACAGATGAGGACGTCAAAGTCAGTATCGGAAAAACAGCAAGACAGGCGTTCCTTCATTAGTCTGAAATCAGTGTGGAGATCTAATGCACTCAGCATAAAGCGTGAACAAGATCCAGATTTTCAACACTAATTCGGTCAAGTTCTAGCCAGTGCTTCTGTGTGATGGTTCAGAGACTAGAGACTTCGCACATTATGAAAGGCATTTCCAAAAAACTACAGACATACATCAACAGCTGCCGCCTACGCCCACTCGATACTGAAGATGAGATGGGTGGCCAGAAAGAATAAGCAGCAAGGAACTCTGGCTGGCTGCCAACGAACCAACTGACCAAGAACCCATCGCCCAACGAGTATGTAGAAAGTGGAGATGGATTGGACTGAACATACACTGAGAAGGCTGATTGGGGACATCATGCGCCAGGCCAGACCAGGCCGTTGAGTGGAATTCAAAGGGGGGAACGACGAGTTGGGCTTCGGAGGGTGACATAGAGGAGATGGTGTGAGGAAGAAATGAAAGCCTGTGGGGAGTCGTAGAGCCATGTGGCAAAGACTAGAGAACAGAGTGGGGTGGCGACGTGCAACTGAAGCGGTATGTTCCACTAGGAACCCAAAGGACTGATAATAATAATAAACCAAGACGTGAGACTGGTCGATAAAGTTTCTCACTGTTGGTCTAAGCAGTGTGCAAGATGTAGACTACCTGTTCGGGGTCCCCGAAACGAAAGGAATCTGTGGTTGGGGACTCTTGGTGACATGCCTTTTGTTTTTTTATTCTCTCACACAACTTTGTCTACTTTGATATCAATCATTTTCTATTCAGCTGTTCTTTATGTACCCTACTATAGAGTGTGGCAAGTTGACCTGATTCACTTGTCTGTTTATCTATCTCTGCACTCATAATCCCAGATCCTTCAGGCTTCGTGGCGAGCTCGTTGTCGTTGAGCCACTGTGTCAAAATCCAATGGTCTAAATTTCCCTAGTTCTGTCAATTCACGTCATAGCGCGACCTCCACTCAACAACATCGTTGAGTGGTGAATATCCACTCGTAATCAATTAATCCCTAAAAACCTTCACAAGCAGTTAATGCTGATTAGTTTCTGTGGTGGTTTGTTACACCCAGTGGACAACAACTTTCTAGCATTTGAATGCATAGTAGACATTGGATACAACTGACAATAATAGAGTACCAATACATCGAGTTGATGATCTCCGGAAAAAGTGGTGCGCATGTTTTCGTTTCTGCTGCTTGTTTGTCATTACAAAACTATCCATAATCTAATAGAAAATAGCATGTATGTATGAAAATATTCAGCGAAACTATTGTGAGCTAACATAAGTTGGAAATATGGACCATTGGATTCTGACCCAAGGGCTCAATGGTAACGCGCTGGCCGCGGACCTGAAGGTCGTGGGTTCGATCTCTGACGAGGTTGTGGGTGCGCACTGCTGAGGAATCCCATACTAGACGAAACAGCTGTCCAGTGCTCCTAAGTTTCCTTTGTTCCTCCAACTGATGTCAGTCTACGATGAATAACAACTTGAAACTAAACTTACCGAATAAACCAGATCGACTGTAGTTTATAAATTGACGGTTCAAAATGTTTTGACTATTTTTATGCTGTATAGATTATAGACCTGTAGGCTATTTTAAGGCTTAGCTGACTTATTGTATATTCATTCTTATTATTTTGCATATAGTTTTAGCCTTAAACTAACTAATACATATGGCGTTTATGTAGGTGGAAAATTGATGAATCAGGTAATCGATGTTATGATTCATCTACAGGACGTCCAATTCTTCAGTTTGTTTCTATTCGTCGAAAAGATTCTGGTGAATGGGCCATTCCTGGAGTAAGTTAGTTTTTTTTTTAATTATCATCATTCCCTGACATCAGCTGAAAGCAGATTTATAAATCATATGTTACATGATATAAACAATCAGCTACAACTGTTGGAAGTTCTATAAAGCTTGTAGTAGATGCTACTGATAAGAATGGATATAAGTAGTGTGTGTTGAGAGGTTGGGAGAAGTCATAGGTAATTTTCAGCGATGGGTAAATATTCTGCTCAAAGAAATGCAAGAGACAACGTGGGCGTATGAGGAGCTAATCGACGTAGAAGAAGAAATAAAGCTCATTGTGCAAATGACTGTTCGAGTGGAATGTGTACAATACCTCATCAGTACTGTACAAAATGTCGTAATAAACATTCCTTCCTGTGTCTCATTCTTCTCGTTTCTTACAAGCTGAATAACGAAACATCCAAAGAAATACAATCATGCTTTCAAGTCCTTAAGGGGTTGTCAGTAGACAGCAGAATAAGTAAATGATGATCGCTACTTATTTTTCCCGTTTACCTTACTTCTTTGAATGTATTGCTACTATTATCATTTCAAGTCTGCTCTCAGTTATCTATAATTTCTGAGCTCTACACTGTTATCAAGCCTTTTATTCGACTATTAACTTGCTGGGTTTAAGTCTCAGTGGGAACGCCATCACTCACTGGAAGGCAGATATATCCAGCTGAGGAGTCCTAAACAGGAAGAAACGTGGGTCCTAGATCCCATCTTAAACATCGAATTGACGTACGTTATCGTCAGTCTTCACTATTTTGAGCGATCTCTTCAACTATTTTTTCATTTTCACATGACTATGATGCTCTGCTTCATTTGATATCTCAGTTGGTGTTATGTGTGTATGTGTTTCTGTATTGTGTGTATGAATATAGAATATTCAGCCGACGAGTTCTAGTGAAATTCACGAATTCTTTGAATTTGTTTCTTGTCACAATTATTACTTTTTGTATATTTTCGAACATCTTCGCTACCAGCCATCCCACATGCATAAATAACTTGACAAAACGAAACCCTCTAAACCTCAAGTAAATTAGTTTATATGCACTGCTGTGTAATTGATCATCACTGTTTACATACTGACTCGACTAGCCAGTATATCTTTTTAATTTCGGCAATCCTAAGTGGATAAAATCAGTAAGCGTATTAACAAAATCTATTTATTCCATAGTATCATGAATCCTTAACACTGTTTTCTATGCGCTTTTTTAAGAGTTTTTTGTACAGCGTCTTAAGTCGACTGCTTTGACAATAGACTACTGACTGATTGTTTTTAAAAAGTAAGTCACAATTTCATTATCCATCTCCTGGTTGGTATTACTAATGCATTCTCGATGTCTGGAGCTCTAACTGTCGAATCCTCTGAGCCGACCACTTTATTAAACACTTGGGGAAATGTATTTTTGAGATGAGTGGGGATTTTTTAATTTAGACGTAGTATTCGTCATGGACTGACATTAGTTAGGGAACCATTGAAAATCTGGGAGCACTAGATAGCTGTTTCGTCCTAGTATGGGACTCCTGAGCAGTACGCACCCACGACCCAGCTACGGATTGAACTCAAGACCTCCAGGTTTCACGGCAAACGTGTTAACCATTCAGATGGATATCACTAAGCTCTAATGAGAAGCCGTGACCTGTGGGGTCAACCAGTCGGAAGTGAAGTGGATGCTAACTGAAGGGGAAGACGTTGGGTGACAGTCGCGCTATGTTGTGAATTGACAGAAGTTGGAAATTGTGAACCATTGGAAACGGACCCAGTGACTGGATAGTTAACGCGTTCGCCGTGAGACTTGGAGGTCCTGAGTACGACCCGTAGGTGGGTCGTGGTTGCGTACTGCTGAAGAGTCCCATACTAGGACGAAACAACTGTCTAGTGCTCCCAGGTTTCCAATGGTTCCCCATCTAGATACCATCTTGAGGGGTTAAATTGTCATTGTTCTACTTCATTGATGTTGAACTAAGCTGCATACACATATGCAACAAGATTTATCTCTGTTTCCTCATTATCAACTAGATATTTTATCAGTTAAGAGAAAAAGTATGTTGGAGGCAATCAGCAGGAAGCCCCGGGCCTAGGTTCTTTACTTGTTAGCACTCGTCTGCAAGGCGTATCTGCAACCTCGACGGAATTGATGTCCCGCCTGGGATTCGAACCCGCGTTACGCAGTGTTGTGGTCGGCGACTTTACCACTGGACTATTCAGGCCACGACTGATCTCCTGTAGGGCTGGATTACATATATTGATTGGTCACGGGAGAGCAAACAATTTCATGTTGTCTAGTCCTGAATGCTGGGGCACGATAGTCACTTCTTGTTCAATGAGCACAAGTTATTATTATGATATTTGTAGTTTCCCGTTGCTTTACGGGACTGAATTGTTCGACCTCTGCTGTTTGCAGATGGGCTCCTATGCGGATGTTATTGTGCTCCAGTGACTTAGCGTATAACACTTTGGCGTTTGAAGCGATGGGGACTGGGTTCAAGTCTCAGTGGGAACAATATCACTCAGTGAGGTGCTGGTACATCCAGCTGACGAGTCTCTAGATTCTCTTACTAGCCACCAGCGTGAATATAACCTTATAGCACTGAGTAGATCCTTCTTAGGCCGAAAATTCACATCTTTCAGTGTACGGAATTAGCAGTGTTCCCAAGTTGTTCTTACTTAGAGTAACATAGAAGTTTCTCAGAGTTTTAGATACATTGTGATAACGAATACTATGCAGTGGTGTTTTCTATCAATTACCACTAAGCAATGTTACGTCATTTACTGATCTCCTCCAGATCATATTCTAATTAACCCAAAAGGTTAAAGTGTAATTATGTTTACCAATTGCTGTTTGATTTATTTACAACTTTGGCCAAAAATTTTAAAGTTTTCTATTTTATTGAGATAATTTTCAATCATTACTGACTTTGTGTAGGGTATGGTAGACGCTGGTGAACAGTACACTTCTACATTGAAGAGAGAATTTTCTGAGGAAGCTTTAAATTCTACAACAGCTTCTGCAGAACAACTAAAAGAAATTGTAAAACGCGTTGACGATGCATTTCATCATGGAGTTGAGGTGTGTGTTTATTTGACGGTTTTTTTTCTTTTGAATTCACACTATACTTTGATTTCAATGTATTTATGCATCTAATTCTGCAGATGGGTTGTATAATCTATAAAGTTTAATTTACCAGAAGTTAGCGTACCACTTAACTAAACGATTCTAGCACAATGTTATCAATGAATACTTGGGGATCGAATTGTCTTCAAACGGGAGTATACTGCGCTACAGTTCGTTCTGTCATGTTATGCGTTCGAGATACGGCCGTTGAAAGTGGGTATGAAGAGACTACAGATTTTTGACCATAGGTATCTTCGTCACATTGATCGCGTATAAAGGAATCACCGTGTAAGCAATGTTGAAGTCAGACGAAAGGTACTAGGCAGGGTAGGGAAGTAAGTCAATTAGGTTATAAACCTTTAGCAACTGAGTTGGCTTCGAAATGTGTTGTGCATGTTGAACGACCGCCTACATTGAAGTGTAATGCTAGAAGAAATCAGATTAGATTGGAAGAAAGTTCAGATTCGTCACACGAAAACGTTGCATCAGCATATGAACTATCTGACTATTGTTCTTAGCTGTATGGGGAGGTATAGACTGTCTGGCTAGGGTCTTCAATAGGATAGAAATCAATAGTTGACAACTCTTAGTTGAAAGTGACTGGACATTGGCCAAAATGGCGCAAAAATATTCACTTTTTTTGACGTCTACTAAAACTCCTCTACTCTAATATCGTTCTTTTTCTGTTCACTACTTGTTCATTGCTTACTGCTGTAAAATGTGGTAACTTGAACCAATGTCTGTTGGGTTCTATACTGTCTATCTGATTGTCTTCATGGTTCAATCATTGATGTGCCTTAAAACTAGGTGGAAACAGATAACTAGTGTTTCTTGGAATTTACAAGTTCTTTGGCTAAGTGTTGCCTTTTTAGGAAACCTTGTGTACATTTCTAGTTCTCATAATATTTGGTAAAGCAATAAGAGTGAAGTCGTATATTATAATTAGCAAGAATCTGTTAATCTCTATATTATTTGTTGGTTTTTGAAGGTTACGTAACAGTTGTTCTACCTGGGTCGTATTCTTGTTGATCAATAATTGTCTTGAAGTTTTTATTTCTGTGCTGCTTGAGTTTAGATATTTTATTGAATAATAATATATATGCCCAGCCATTGAACTTACAGTTATTATTATTATTATTAGTCCCTTGGGTTCCTAGTGGAACATAGGGCTTCAGCAGCACGTCTCCAGTGCACTCTGTTCTCTGAAATCTTTTGAACCTGGCTCCACGACAGCCCAGAAGCTCTCATTTCTTCCTCGCACGACCTCCTCCAAGTCACCCTCGGACGTCCAACTCGTCGCTTCCCATGGGGATTCCACTCAAGTGACTGGCCTGACGCGTGATGTCCCCAGTCGGCTTTCTCAGTGTATGCCCAATCCATCTCCACTTCCTTCTACATATTTGTTGAGCGATAGGTTCTTGGTTGGTTCGTTCCCAGAGTTCCTTGTTGCTTATTCTTTCTGGCCATCCATCTGATCTTCAGTAGCGAGCCAGCGTGAGCAGTTGTTGATGAATGTCTGTAGTTTGTTAATAATGCCTTTCGTAACGCGCCAAGTCTCTGAACCATCACACAGAAGCACTGACTTGACTGGGTTGGTGTTGAAAATCCGTATCTTGTTCCGCATGCTGAGTGCAGAAGATCTCCACACTGGTTTCAGGCTAATGAACGCCTGTCTTGTTTTTCTGATTCTGACTTTGACGTCGTCGTCTGTGCCTGTCCCGCCTGTAGTTGAAACAGTGCTTCCTAGATAGGTGAAGGAGGTTAACTCCTTTAAGTTTCTCCCGTTGATGGTGACTGGAGTTTGTTGTTGTTGTTGGTGCGGTATCTTCATCACTTCTGTCTTCTCTATATTCACCTGAAGTCCCGTCTTCGCTGCCCTGCCTCTTCTGCCAACTTGTTAGTTTTCGCCTGTAGATCTTCAAGTTTGTGTGATATCAGGCACAAGTCATCGTTGGCGAAATTTAGATCTTCTAGGTTCTTTTCCGCAGTCCAGCCATTGTATCCCCCTCTTCTCGCTCCCCACTGTTTGCTGCATGATCCAGTCGACCACAATCAGGAATATCATGGGGGATAGTAGGCATCTTGTTTCACTCCTGTCTTCACTTCACTGCAAAAGCATCACGAGCTTCCTTCCCATTGTGAATTACTTGGCATTTGGCGTCTTCATATAGTTGTTGAATGAACTTACAGTTAGATGTTTTAATATATATATATATATATATATATATATATATATATATATATATATATATATATATATATATATATATATATATATCGTGGTTCTTGTAATTGTAGTATCATTGGTCCTAGCACAATAAGTGTAGCTTCATTGCCTACTACACGAATGTGCGCAAGGTTGCTGAGTACATTTTGATTCGATTGATAGCGAGCACTTTTCAAAAAATTCTATTATGATTTCCATCTTTAATTTTAAATTTTTATAAACAGATTTCCAGTTGATATAACTTTCTAACATTACAGGGATTGATCTGCTCCCTACCTGGTCATCTGGTTGACTTTGAGTATCCATGTATCGATATCTTATATCGAAGAGGTTAATAACAGTGCAAAGTCAATAAAACTGTTGACATTGCACTGTTATTAAACCTCTCCGATTTAAGACATCGACACATCCCACCACTTTATTGCCTATCCTTAGACTGGGAATAGTTGCACCAGATCAGTCCTGAAGCATCATGTTACATTTGACAGGAGTGAAACAGATGCCAAACATACTTAGATTTCTGCTTAACGCATTCAAAAGACCCTGCATTTTGTCAGTGTGACCGTCCAGTAGGACAATATCTTCTCGCATACTCAAAGTCAACCAGATGACCGGGCAGGGAGTAGATCAATCCCTATGAAATTAGAAAGTTATATCAATTCGAAAATCCGTTCATAAAAATCTAAAACTAAAGATTCAGATGCGAAACCCCACTGACTAAGTGTTGATTGTATCAAATCAAAAAAACTCCATCTAGTCACAACTAAGTTAACCACACGTTATATAAAGCAATCTTGTGGTTGTATTTAAATGACCATTAATTTTTAGTATTAAAACGTTATGCGTACTTTCTGTTTCTTTTACTATCTTTTGTGTACTTTAGGCTGTGATATCTGGTAGAATGTACTTCTAAACCATATATATATATATATATATATATATATATATATATATATATATATATATATATATATATATATATATATATGAGATGAGTTCGGATTTTTATTTAGAAGTAGTATCCATCATGGACTGACATTAGTTGGGGAACCATTGAAAATCTGGGAGCACTAGATAGCTGTTTCGTCCTAGTATGGGACTCCTGAGCATTACGCACCCACAACCCATGACCTGTGGGGTCAACCAGTCGGAAGTGAAGTGGATGCTAACTGAAGGGGAAGACGTTGGGTGACAGTCGCGCTATGTTGTGAATTGACAGAAGTTGGAAATTGTGAACCATTGGAAACGGACCCAGTGACTGGATAGTTAACGCGTTCGCCGTGAGACTTGGAGGTCCTGAGTACGACCCGTAGGTGGGTCGTGGTTGCGTACTGCTGAAGAGTCCCATACTAGGACGAAACAACTGTCTAGTGCTCCCAGGTTTCCAATGGTTCCCCAACTAATGTCTGTCCATAATGAATACTACTATATATATATATACATATATATATATATATATATATATATATATATATATATATAATGTGCGTGTGAAAAAGTGTAGTTGTCGAATTTATTAATCCGAAAAAACTTCATTAATATAGGTGTAAAACTTGGGCACTATGGTAGAAATTAATTCCATATTAAATTTGTTGATTTGATTTATAACACACTGTGATACAGTATTACCTATTCACTCGATGACGTTTCGAGCATAAATGAGTATTGCTCATAATCATATCAATGTAATCACACTACTTTCGACATTTGATTTTTATAGTTACGTCACTTCTTATATGGCGAAGATGTTGCGTCATTTCTATTACATGTGTTGAGTGTTGACTGATTCGATGAGCAAAAATTCAGTAATCAATCTCTCCCTCTCTCCACCTAATTGTATTGCACTTGAGTACAATGGCTTATCCCTATTGTGTGGTTGTGTTTTAATGCATGCATAGCAATAGCCGAGTTTTTTTTCTAGATTATTGATCTTATTTAGGCCTGTTATTCTATATTTAGCTAAATTTCTATGTTCGGCTATTCTAACTGACCCCGACCGACTAGTTTGACCTATATGCTTGACCTCACAGTCATTACATGGGATTTGATAGATTTTATTATTCTGCTTCATTGATTCTATCGGATCCTTAAGCCGACAAAGTTTATCTCTGAGTGAGTTTGTAGGTTTAAATGCCACCCTAATTCCAGCTCTGTTGAGGATTCTGTGTAAAGTTTCTGAGGTACCCTCCTTATAGGGTAATGCAATGGAGGCTGTGAACTCCTTTTTACTCGTGTTGTCGTTATTGGTCGAACTCGTGTGACTGTTATTTTTTCGTTTTTTGTGTGTCCATAGGAATTTCCTGATAAACTGTGCAGTCTTTAGGTTTCAGAACGAAATATACAGGAAAACAGAAGGAGTAGCAATCGGATCGCCAATATCCCCAATCGTAGCAGATATGTTTATGGATAGTTCGGAAAACGGCTTTACAAACGTTTAGTCCTACACCAAAAATATGGTGGCGATATGTGGGGCAGAAAACTCACTACTAGACTGGATCCCAGTTGATAGTCGCCTCTGCGCTATCCGACTGAACGGCACAGTGAGAACCAAAAGGAATAGTGAGACTCGCCGTTGTCTCTTTGTAATCTCTGCTTACGCACCCACTGACTGCAGCTCGGATGAAGTGAAGGACGAGTTCTACCATAAACTGTCTAACCTCCTCTCGAAAGCCAAACGTTCGGACGTGGTGGTTCATGCAGGTGACCTCAACGCACAGGTGGGTAGACTGAGTGAGGCAGAAAGGCACTTAGGTGGCACTTTCGGAATCCCAGCTGAACGTACAGATAACGGTGATCGCCTATTACAACTATGCTCAGATAACCGCCTATTTTTAGCCAGCACAAATTTCAGACAAAAAGAAAGGCACTGTCTGACCTGGCGTCCACCGAGCTCAACTCAGCGATGGACACAGATAGACCACATTGCTATTAGTCATCGCTGGAGAGGATCGGTGGAAGACTGCCGCTCCTTCTGGAGTACGTGTTTGGACAGCGATCATGCGTTGGTCCGAGCGCGTATATGCCTGCGTCTCAATGGACGTAGGAAAAATTTGGCAACAAAACCACTACGAGTGCTGCTGGAAAACGGAAACACCAAAGCCGTGTTCAGTGAGAAGTTGGCTAGGCAGTTATCGGAACAAAAGACTGTCACTCATCCAGAAGAAGCTTGGTGCCATCTTCAGTCTGATGTAAAAGCAGCACTGAAACTGTAGCCGACTCCAAAATAATGGCTAAAAAGAGCCAGTGGATATCAGCAGCTTCTTCCAAACTAATGGATGCACGTGAATGCATCCCTGCAGGCTCTGAGTACAATGAAGAGCGAGCGCAACTTAAAAATAGACTGACGAAAAGTCTGCGCAACGATCGTGAACAGTGGTGGGCAGCGAAGGCTAAAGAGATGGGAAAGGCAGCGGCGATCGGTAACAGTAGACAGTTATTTAGACTTATTAAGGAGACTGGGGGAAAATGGTCAACAACAGTTAGTGAGGCTATAGCGGAGAAGGACGGATCTGCGATTCACTCGCAGGGGAGACGACTGGAACGATGGGCAGAACACTCTGAGGAACAGTTTAACTGGCCTCCAGCCATCATTGCGATGCCCGCTATCCAGTCGGATCCTGAATGGGACATAGAGACATGCCCCCCAACACTGAAGAAGTCGAGAAAGCAGTAGGTAGCCTGAAACGAGGAAGGGCAGCAGGACCAGACGGACTACCTGCTGAGGTATACAAGAATGGTGGTAGAGTGCTCCTAGTCAGGTTAACGGAAGTGTTAGCCAGTATATGGGAATCAAATACGATCCCCTCCGACTGGTCTAAGTCACTGATCATCCCAGTCTTCAAGAAAGGCGAGAAGTCCTCTTGTGATAACCACAGAGGAATCAGCCTGACGAACATAGTGTCTAAGATCCTAAGTTCTATAATTCTCCGACACCTGAGTGGAGCTCGGGAACAGCAAGCCCGAGAAAACCAGGCAGGCTTTAGACCTGGCCGTGGATGTATCGACCAAATATTCACACTGCGCCAGGTCCTGGAACATAGGCATGCTTACAGACGCCCGACAATAGCTGTATTTCTCGACCTGAAGGCGGCATTTGACTCCGTTGATCGAGAAGTCTTATGGCAATGTCTGTCACTGAAAGGCGTGCCTAGTAAGTACATCACCTTATTGAAAGCTCTCTACTCGAACACTTGTGGGCATGTTAGAGCCTATGGTGAGTTGTCCAGGGAGCTATACTCATCAAGTGGTGTCCGTCAAGGATGCCCACTATCCCCATTCTTATTTAATTTTATCATAGATATTCTTATGGAGGTTTCCCTCTCGTCACCTAATTACACAGACGTTGACCGATCACAGGTGAATTTTCTTAGATCTAGAATATGCAGATGACATAGTCCTGTTAGGTGAAGACGCTGACAAGATGCAGAGTCTTCTGAACACTTTGAGTGGGAATTTGAGAATGTTTGGGATGCGATTTTCACCCAAATGCAAATTTTTGCTCCAGGACTGGTCTTCAGCGGTACCGCGGCTAACAATAGAGAGTGAAGTGGTTGAGTGTGTTGACCACTTCACTTACCTGGGAAGTAGGATCAACCCTGGTGGGTTAGTTGCCGATGAGATTTCTGCACGGATACAAAAGGCTCGATTGGCTTTTGCCAATTTGCGCCACCTATGGCGCCGCCGTGATATTCGTTTGTCTATTAAGGGTCGCGTGTACTGCACAGCAGTCCGTCTGTTCTACTGTATGGCTGTGAAACATGGCCATTGAAAGTGGAAGATATGAGAAGGCTTGAAGTGTTTGACCACCGTTGCCTTCGTAGTATAGGACGTATTCCGTGGTGTCACCATGTGAGTAATGCAGAAGTTAGGTGTAGAGTTTTAGGGAGAAGAGGTAAGTCAGTTGACGAGGTTGTGAACCTTCATCGACTGAGATGGTTGGGACACGTACTACGTATGCCTAGTCACCGATTGCCTCGTCACACAATGTTGGCTGAAGTGGGTGCAGGCTGGAAAAAGGCCCGAGGTGGCCAGACTAAAACATGGCACCAATGTATGAAGTCTCTGACTGTTGGTTTAAGCCATGTAGGACGATGCAGACTAGGTGGTTGGGGTCGGCGGGACAAGAGGAACCAGTGGTTGGAGACCCTAGGTGATATGGCTCAGAACCGATGTCAGTGGCGCAGATGTATACACACATTATCCTCATCTTAACTACACTACACCGAATCTCACCATTTTGTCACTCCTCTTTCCTTTCTTCTCGTACTTTATATTTCTTTTGACTGCATTCACTTATCTTCATCCTTCACCTCACTACCTTTCTACTTGATGAACTGACGTGAGGTGTGGCAACTCGGACCGTTACGCAGTAATGACTGGTCTTATGTTGATAATGATTGATTGATAGGTCTCAGCGGACATTCAGCATGGGTTCTGATATTGTTACTTAACTGTCCAAGTTGTCACAACTCACATCAATGTACAGAGTAGTCACATGATAAAACTGGGATGACGAAAGATGAAGATATGTATGCATCTGCGCCGCTGGAGTTGACTTTGAGCCATTTCACCTCGAGTCCTCTAATCATTTACTTCGGTTATCACGCGGACCCCAATCGGAAAGTCAATATTTCTTTACACGACAAAGATAAACAGTCAGTGATTCCATGAATCGATGCCACGTTTTACGTCATAGATACTGTCAAGGTGTGCTGAAAATAGTAGATAGCATCAGTGTATTGGATTTAAGACAAAAATACTGACTGATGGTTGAAATGAAAAGGGTTGCTTATTGCAACCTCTACTTTGCAAGCAGTTTTTCGTTTCAAAATTACTTATAAATCACTACAGATTGACTTAACGACCGTTATTAGTAGCTAACCCAACAATTTAGCTTAAGTTACTTCAGCTGTCATCCAGTTGGATTCTTCAGGAGTTGATCGTCGCTTGAGAATAGGAACTGAGACTTTGGGTAAGGATACGCTTGTATCTTAATCGATACAGAAAATACACGCCTAGAGAAATGTTTTATATTACGTCACCGATAGCAGGTAGTGCTAATCGCAGATTACCTGAATTCGCTTCTCATTTCTGCCGTACAAAACGTCTGTTGCTGAAGGTTGGGTCGAGTCGATGAATCACAAAGGCTTCTTATAAACGTTTTGGCGAGAAATCACCGCACTCCCTCGTGTTCGACAATGATGAACTATCAAAGATGAAACTGAAATTAATGGAAAACGTGTATATTGATTTTAATCCGAAAGTATGAATGTCCTACTGAGCCATAACGCGTGAACAAAACTGGTGTTAGGAGTTCTCATACCAGAGATTGTTATTTTATTTCGAGAGATTTACTTGGAGATTAATACTCGTGGTTGACACTGGACAACGACAGTACTCGGAAAGCGTTAACTATTGGATCCCAACCCCTCACTGGTTAAATGGTGACGTACACACCGGTAAACCTCCTGGTCTTGGGTTCGATCCCACATAGGATCGTGTGTGCCCATTGCTGAGTAGTCCCGATGTAATATAAAACTGTTGTCCTTTGCTCTCAGATTCTGAATACGTCTCTGACTCGTGATGGGAACACATTTCAGTCTCGTGTCAATACTATCCAGGGGAAATGTACAAGGAAACGAGCCAGATTTCCAAGTGGCTCAGTCAAAGAGTTAATGAAAATTAACAGTGATCATGAAGACTGTTTGTTTTTAGTTCGACTCATCTGAGCTGTGAGCATTCAGGTGCCCTTATGACAACCTGACGTCTAAAAACAACTATTTTTGAACTGAAGTAATATTCAGGTTTGAACAGTTAATATCATAAGCTGACTTGGTGATAGTGACTTCTAATTAACAAGCAAATGTAACTGATTTAGCATGTATTCATTGTCTGGCACTCCTACAACTTATTGGTTCGAAATCATTGTCATAGAAAATTTCACAGAGTGTTATGCATACACTGACTTTAAGTTAAACGCTTAGGCGGAAGTATCGCTATCACACACAGTATGACAGCATTGGGCTAAAAGGGAATGCCGGGTATAATCCACCAGATAAATAAAATCATCTAACGAACTCAACTATCTCATCCACTTTCATATGTGTAGGCTAATAATGCAGCACTGTCTTATTGAAGGTGTTCAAAAGGGTTGGATCTGATGTCAGTAACTTCGTCGCAAAAACTATAGAAGCATATTTTGCGTGATCCTATCATCAGTCTTTTTCAGAATTCTATCTTTTTACAGGACTATGTTGTCTACTTATTCTAAATCTGTAAAAGAATCTCATTCAATCAAGGTCAATTACAAGACGTCTATGCATTCGTGAATATGATCAAGTAATGTATCGTGGGGAAAAAATCGACAAACACCCATCGTGAGCGGACACCCACAGTACGTGCATATCCGCTTAAGTATATTATATCCTCAACAATCTATTCAGGTTGAATGCTTCAGTAGTTATTATTATTATCAATATCGATGGTTATAATTTTATTTATTTAACATTTGTATTTTTTAAATTCCAGATATATAAAGGCTATGTAGATGATCCACGGAATACTGATAATGCGTGGATGGAGACTGTAGCAGTGAATTTTCATGATGATCAAGGTGACTCTTTAGCATTGTTTCCCTTAACTGCGGGTAAGTCGCACACGACTAACTATACCAACTTAATGCATCCTAGAGTTGTTTTTTTTACTAAGAGAAAAACAAATAATTTGTTCCATTTACCAATAGGCTTTGGTTAGCACAACGTTTAATCCCGTAGAGGCGTTCTGTTAGTTGGGTTACGCCAATGCAGCCTGTATATATCACTTATAGTGTAGGATAAGCTTGAGTGGTAGGTGTATGTGCTAGGCTATGACAGACGCCTAGTGTATGCTTACTACCCACTTGTTCAAACATGAAGACAGATAAAATCAACGTAGGAACTCACACAGAAGTGCATCACTTCAAGCTGCTACACTTCACAGGATAACAAGTGCACAGATTGATATCAAAGTAGATAAAGGTGTGTGGGAGGAGAGAGAAGACATGATGGGGGTAAAACTAGATCAGAATCCGAGACTCATGACTTGAAAGTCAAGTGATACACACCTTAACAACAAATCTATGTCATTATCATATCGGGTTCTTAATAGATAGAAAATTTTAGGTTAGGATGATTAATGGTTACAGCTGGAAATCCAAAACGTTTAGAATTTATCGACTAACTGTATATGCCTTCGTACTGAGACTCTAATCTACCACCCACTTCAACGCCAGGGCGTTTTGCGTTAGGCTATCGAGGCACAATAACCAGCACCTTAGTAGATTTTTCTTAATTGGAGTTGCTGGTCCCATCCATCGGAAAAGTTACTATTGGGATGAAGCGCGTGCTGGATTTTGCCGCTAGTCATCATTACTACAACAGTGAAATTGCTAGCGTAATGCATTGATATATTCACGCAGAAGGCAATGCACTGAAAAGGGTTAAACCAGTCAACAATGGGAAATAACAAGCTAAAAATATATATCTGTCAGTTATTACTTCTCCAAGGTGAATCTTGTATTTTCGCAACAATTACCAAATCTGCTAGAGTTAAGTGCGATTGCCGTAAAGTAGTGATGCAAGAACCCATCAGTACAGCAGACATCTAGAAAAATTGTGACTTTACACACAGGTTTCTAGTTCCGTGACAGCCACTCATTTCACTGTCCAAAAGCTGGATAGATAAGTTGACCTGTGTGGATTTAACACAAGCACGCCTGGCGTGGTTTGACATTTTCTCATTCCTTCTTCCTCTTTTTCCTTCTTTCTTCATCTAACAACTTTGTTGCTTGTTGTGCTGATATGAGACGTGGCAACTTGGACCGCTACACAGTACAGCCTGGCCGCATATTGAGTGAGTATAGTGGAGAATATTTGTAGCTCAGGTGGATGGTCTTGGTTGTATTGTGTTCTCTGAGCTAGGTTGTTTAATCGCGAAGCTTTCATTGTCTTTCTAGACGACATCGTCAGCACTAACTTCAGTATGAAGTGAGCTGTTAGGGCAGGCTACTAAATCACTCACGGAGAGATATTGACAGCCCGCTTCATACTGAAGTTGGTGTCGTCTAGGAAGACGATGAAAGCTTGACGATTAAACAACTCAGCTCAGAAAACACAATACAACCAAGATATTGAGTGAGTAGTTAAGTCGTATTCATTCCACTGTCATTGTAAAAACTATTGTCTGGACTATCACTGATACATTATAACTATACGATTTACCTCTTTCTGAGTTGAAAACGAGCAAGTAAGTGATTGATACCAACTGGTTATATTGTAACAACATAAAATCTCTCTCACTTTCTATCTATAGGCGATGACGCGGAGGCTGTGTCGTGGACAGATATTAGCTCTGAACTACACCTTTATGCAAGTCATCGTGATTTCATTGAACTAGTCGCCAGTTTACAAAAAGCAAGATGGTAGATTTTTGGATATGGACTGAATATCATCACCGAGAAACAAAAAAAAATTGATTTGTTCCCTGAGACATGATTTTATTCACTCTTTTTCTTTAAAAATTATTTTGTATACTTAGAATAATTTACATTTAGCTGAAGGATAATGTACAATCTTTCAACATATTTTTAAGCTCTTTTAATAGATAAATGTAAAAACACACTGGTTTATAACTGGTCAATGTCTTGTTTTGTAGAGACAGATAGACAAACAACCATTAGATCTTTACAAATTTGAAAACCATTATAAAATATGAAAAAAAGTGAAAGTTATTTTCAAAGGTAAAACAGGGACTGTGAAGGGACATATAAACAGGGGAACAGTAGTTACTGTATGTGAGATACAAAAAACACTGTAATGTAACGTTCTTTATCTGCCATCAAAGGAAGTAGTCTGGAATTGGTCGACGGGCTGGTATACTACGGACGTCCTAAAAATATCGAATAAATTTGATAAGAAAGGGGTGGGGTTAGACTTTAGTAAGACTCTCCTGCAGAATAAACTGATAATGACCCAAACTTGAATGATGAAAGGAACCAATGTTAGTGACATCTACTAATAGCGTCACGAAGCGAGAGTCAAATTAGTGTTGTCGAACCTAAACGCTTTGAGTCTAATCCCAACATTGCATGAGATTGAGGAGTCCCAAGACGAAGCTTTTTCAACAGGGTCTTATTTATTAGTTAGGTGGCCATGTCAAACAGCATCTATTGTCATGTCATCATATACCAAACATCTATAATAACTGTAAAGAACTCTACACTACACGACGAAGAGAGGATGTACGTGCGCGTTGGTGCTAGCGACAGAGCGTTAATTTGATAACGTAAAAGGAAGATCGTACTTTACGACCTACTAGTCTTTGAAATTCAATGACAAACGAAAAGAGGTAAGTGCAACTCATTAGCCACATGCAAGAGGCGATCTGTCAAGATTTTGTGTGCTGGAGTATGATAACACCCATCTGTTCAAACCTCTGTAAGTGAAGCTGGGTTTGATGACCTGACTAACTGCCTAGGTCAGTGAGCCAGAGGTTCACAAGTCGAAT